AGGAATAGTTAAGAACACAGAGAGGGCTGGTCGAGGTGGCTCACGCCTGTAATCCTAGCACTCTGGGAGGCTGAGGCAGGTGGATCGTTCAAGGTCAGGAGCTCGAGAGCGAGACCCTGTCTCTACTAAAAAACGGAAAGAAATGATCTCAACAACTAAAAACATATATATATAGAAAAAATTAGCTGGGCATGGTGGCACATGCTTGTAGTCCCAGCTACTTGGGAGGCTGAGGCAGGAGGATCGCTTGAGCCCAGGAGTTTGAGGTTGCTGTGAGCTAGGCTGACGCCACGGCACGCTAGCCCCAGCAACAGAGCCAGATTCTGTCTCAAAAAAAAAAAAAAAGTTAGACAATACCCTGTGTTGGCCAAGTTTTGAAAAGAGGCCCTTGACTCCCTGCTGGTGGGACTATAATTTAGTTTAACCTTTTTGGAGGACATTTGGGCAAATGTATCCATATTTTATATAACATACCATTTGACCTGGAGTGCAAAGGTATGTGTGTAGGTCATTCATTGAAATTGCCACAGTATTTGTAGCAGCAAAAAACTGTAATCTAACCTAAATGCCCATCCGGAGTTCCCTTGTTAGGTAAATTGTGTGAGTAGGGTATAATCCGGAGAATGAAAAATTCTGCAGCGCTGCAAAAATTAAGGGAGCTGCACATAATGATATGGAATGATTTTCAAAGCACTGAATATTGTTATAGCAAGGTGTAGGCTAGTGTGGAGGTTCTCGTTTGTGGTATACAAAGGGGTGTACACGTTAACATACACATACAAATTTATCTCCCTGTCTATATGAAGGCCATCTCTGGAAGGTCATACAAGACACTGGTAAAAAATAGTTCCTTTTGTTTGTTTATTTATTTATTTTAGAGATACTGTCTCATTCTGTCACCCAGCCTGGACAGCAGTGGCATAATCATAGCTAACTGCAGTCTTAAACTCCTGGTCTCAAGCAGTCCTCCCGCCTCAACCTCCTGAATAGCTCAGACTACAGGGGAGCGCCACCACGCCCGGCTAATTGTTAAAAGTTTTTTTATAGAGAGAGGGTCTTGAACTCCTGGCCTCAAGTGACCCTCCTGTCTTAGCACAGTTTCCCCAGAAACTGTGTTTCTGGGGAAACACAGTTGCCTTTGGGGAGGGAAAAAGAGGTCTGGGATGGAGGAAGACCTTCTTTCGTTGATTGTAAATCACATTTTTTAGTTATTGGTTTTACTTTCAGTGGGGGGTGGGCACCTGTAGGAAATGCAGGCGTCTAATCAAATTTGTCTTCCTTCCAGAACCCTTTCTCGTCACTTTAGATATTCCCCAATTGCCCTCCAACGCAGTTGTACCCGATTTCACCCGCCTGAAAGGCGTGTGCGCCCAGCACCCCGCGACGGTCGCAGGAAGGCGCCTTGGCCAGCAGAGGGCGCCGGAGGACCGCGCCCCGGAGCCGGGGGCGGGACCCCTCGGGCGGGGAGGGCCTGGCCAGCCCGGTCCGCTGCAGCCAGGGCCGCAGAAGTCGTTCATTTCCGGGAGGACCTGACACCACAGTATTAAAAGTGTCACCTCGCTTTCCCCTGCAAGGCGGTCCGCGCCTTCTCCCAGGCCCGGGGCCGCACACGGGGGTGCTGATCCGCGGCCCGGAGGCCCCCCCCAAGCCTCTTCCCACCTCTTGGTCTCCGCAGCTGCCTCCGGGAGGGAAGAGGCGGGGGCGGTCCGGAGGGGGCGGGGATAACTCAATCAGATCCGAGCACAGACCTGAGAAAGGCCCTCGCCCTCTTTGTCACCGGTCCTCCTCCCCTGCCCCCTCCCCCGCTCAGCACTTGCCTGGTCGATTGAAAGAAAATGGAAAGCCAGGCCCAGGCACGTGTGCCCTGGTTTACCCACTCCGGCATCTCCAGGAGATAGGAGCCACCCACTCTTTAGAGTTGAGGAAACTGAGGCCCAGAGAGGCTAGGTAACTCGCCCAGGGTGACCCAGCCGGCAAGAGATGGAGCGAGAATCAGTCGTTCAACAAGTATAATATTTGTTTGGGCTCCACTATGCTTTGAAGACGACGGAAGTGGGTGTTGGGGGATGCACGGGATCCTTCTTTGGCTTCGGTGATCAGGGAGGACTCCCTTAAGGAGGTAACTTAAATGTTTTCGTATTAAATATATCATTCGTATTCAAAAGTGTTGTCTGTGTAATAAAGATTCCTCCCTGCCTAGGAAACAGAACATTACCAGAATTCTAGAAGCTCCATGTGCAGCCTCTCCTTACCCCGCCCCTACCACTCTTAAGAATTGTGTACTAAATATTTCCTTGCTTTTCTTTCTAGTTTTACCACTTCCACACACATCCCTAACCAATATAGGGTTTAGTCTGCCTGCTCTTTGAACCTTATGTAAATCTAGCTAATTGTTTGCATTTGTTTGTGACTTCTGCTTAACATTCTGCTTTTGAGATTGACCCTTGTTGTTGCATAGAGTTGTGGCTCACTCTTTAAATTTTTTATTTTTTGCCACCAAGCCCATCGTTATGGATGTTGTTCATTTTTATTGCTGTATGGTATTCCCGTATAGTATTGTGCCATGGTTTATTAATCCATTCTACTGTTGATATAAGCATTTGGATTGTATCCAGTTTTTGTTGTTAGGAACAAGGGTGCAAATGAATATTCTCTTCTGTTTCTTCTGGGTTCGAGGCTGGGCAGCAGTTCTTAACTTTTCTTGCTCGTTAGAATCATCAGAGGGAGTTTTAAAAAATGCTGATGCTAGAGGCCCCACCCAGACAGACTAATTGAATCAGGATGTTTGTGGGGGTGGGGCCCGGGATTAGGTGTTTTAACTGTTCCCTGTGGGAATTCCCTAAGGGAATCTAATGCGCTGCTAGGGCTAAGAACCCTTGGGATAGAGTTGGCCCGGGGACAGACTTGATGCGAGAGGAGAGTCACCTGTTAGTAGCTGACACCAAACTTTTCCAAAATGGCTACGCCCATTGATACTCACATCCTCATCAACACTTGATATTGACCAAATGTATTTATTTATTGTCCTTCTGATGGGCATGAAATGGTACCTCACTGCGGGCTCTTTTTAATTTTGTAAATTTTTTCACTGTGGTTTTAATTTGCATTTCTTAGGCTGAGCCGTGGGTGAAGTTGTTGCTGAAACAGAGCATGAAAAGAAGCTAGCCAGGTGAAGATCTAGAAGAGAGACTTAGGGGGAAAGGAGGATGAAGGGCAGGTGCCAAGGTCTTGCGGTGGGCAAGGGCCAGGGCGGGACGCCGGAGGAACCGCAGGAGGCTGGGAGTGAGATCGCTGTGCACAGGGGAGGGAGAGAAGCCCTAGGCACGGAGGGGCACAGCAGCAGGCCCAGTTGGCAGGGTGAGGACTTTGGCTCTTACTCTGCGACAGGCATTTGAGAGGGTTGTAAGCAGAAGGAGGTGGTCTGATTGCTGCCCCTGGCTCCGGGTGGAGAAGCGTGATCAGCGCGGCACTGACATGGAGAGGGTGTATTTGTCCTAATGACTGCCTAGTGCCTGCCTCCCTCAGCCCTCCCCCACACCAGCTAGAACGAGGGGAGGCTGCTTTTGTTCACAGCTGTTACCCCCAGCACCTAGTGACCAAAACAGACCATAGTCCCTGCGCTTGTAGTTGGTGAGTGGGGGGACATGCTTTTCCTAGTCCTTGCCTCACAGGTGGAAGTACTGCCGACCCAAGGGATTTATTTCCGCGCCCAGACCCTGGCCTGGCCTGCCACACGGGAGCAGGGCTGAGGGTACAGCTCTCCCTCCCTGGGCCCAGCCCTGGTGCATTCCGTCAGCGTCCCCTGTGGAGCCGCGATGAATCCTTTGGACACAGGATAGATGACCCTCAGAGGGGTGAGGGGACCCCGCCTCAGCCCTGCCTTCTCTGCTTCTCTCTACCGCCTGCCTAGAGGGATCTTTTTCAAGGAAACTCTAAACAGGTCTCTCCTCAACTGAAATCTTTCCGTGGCTCCCCACTGCCCTTGAGGCAAAGTCCAAACTCCTCCTAGGCGCTGGAGGCCCAACAAATCTGACCCTCCTGGCCGGCCCACGCCACCCCTGTCCCTGGGAGCTGCTCTCACTTAGTTCCTCAGAAGTAGTTACTGATTCTTACCTCGGGCCTTCCCCCTTGGTATTTCTTCACTTCCTCCGGGAAGTCACCTCCGACCCCTCCCCACTCCTGTTCAGGTGACCGCCTCCTCTTCACTGTCACAGCGTCGTGTCTCCCCATCAAAGCGCACTTCCCTTTGCATTATAATCGTCTGTTTACTTTGTCTGCCTCCCCCACCGGACGGGGAGCTGCCCTTCGGTAGAGGCCGTGAGTGTTTTGTTCAGGGCTGTGTCCCCAGCTCAGGGAACCGTGCCTGGCACGTAGCGGGCGCTCGGTAGATGTTTGCAAAGTGCAGGAACGAGTGCGTTTCGCTAGATGATGCCAGGCTGCTTTGCAAGAAGGCTGTGGCATTTCACACTGCCAGCAGCCACGCGAGGGTGTCCATTTCCGCGCATTCTCCCCAGCGGGTGCACTTCCCTCCCTCCTCAGTGCTACGGGCGCCAGCCCGGCCGCGGAAATTTCCGCCCCCCGCCCAGGCTCGGGGCGGAGGCGGGTTTCGGAAGGTCCGGTGTCGGGACCGGCGGCGCGTAGCGCCAGGGGGCGCCAGAAGCGCTACGACCGCGGGGCGCTGAGCTGGCAGGCGCGCGGCGTCCCGCTGGGGTCCCACCTCGTTGGGGGCTCGCTGCGCCCGGCGTCCCTCCCCCGACAGCCCGCTCGGGGGGCGAGCTGAGCTGCGCTCGCAGCCGGGCCTCGGAGGGGCCCCAGCTCGGGCTCCCAGCGCCACGCGGCGCGAGCTCCGCCAGCCCTCGGCGCACCTGCTCGGGGCGTGGCCTTCGGCGGAGGCGCGCCTCTGATTGGCGCGGAGGTGACAAAGGGGCGTGGCCCCAGCGTCCCGCCTCCCGCCCCATCTGGACTATTTAAAGGTGTTGGCGGCGGGTCTCTACTCACAGCACCGCGGCACGGCCTCGCGAGTGGAGCGTCTTGCGACCCCTGCGCGACCCGGCGACCCCGGCTGCTTCGGCCACCATGCCGCGCTCTTTCCTGGTCAGGAAGCCCTCCGACCCCCGCCGGAAGCCCAACTATAGCGAGCTGCAAGACTCTAATCTAGGTGCGCGGAGGGGTGCCGGGCGCTGGGGAGGGGTTCGGGAGTGGGGGTGGGGACAGGCGAAGGCGGCGTCGGGGGGCGTCTGTGGCGATGGGGCTGGGCCAAAATCGAGTCAAAGGACCTCTTGTGGAGAACTGCGGGGCGAGGGCGCGGGAGACGGGGGACAGGGGGGTCTAGATCACGGATCCGGGCGACTGGGGCAGGGCTGTGGAGCGGACAGTGGGCTTGGGCTGAGGGGGACTTCGTAGCCGGCGCGAAGCGGGGAGCTCCGCGAGTGTGGGGATGGGAGGCGGCGGCTTGTGCCAGCAGAGCCTGCCGGCCAGTTGCCGTGAAGGGTCCGGAGTCCAGAGGGTTGGGGGGAGGGGTCGGGAGAGGATCTGTGTCTGGGGAGGGGGATTGGGGCAGGGTGGTGGCTCACGAGCTGGGGAGATTGGGGGCTGGGATAACTGGGGGGGTCTAGCTTCAGACTGGGGACTTGGGGGGCTCTGGAGGAGGGAGACCTGGGAATGAGTCCCTTAAGCTGGGACTGGGGAGTGGGGGACTCAGGTTGGGTGACCTGGGTGAGGAGCGGGCTGTGCAAGGGCAGGAACCTGGTGTGTCCTGCTCACGATTTTATTCGTCTAATAAGTATTGAGAGCCAGCTCCACTCACCACCCGGGCAGCAGTGAGTTAATGTTTGTTGACTGACTGAATGATCTAATTAACGCCTGACCCTGCTCTTTTCTTTCTCGTCTCAGAGTTTACCTTCCAGCAGCCCTACGACCAGGCCCACCTGCTGGCAGCCATCCCACCTCCAGAGATCCTCAACCCCACAGCTTCACTGCCCATGCTCATCTGGGATTCTCTCCTGGCGCCCCAAGCCCAGCCAATTGGGTGGGCCTCCTTTCGGCCCCAGGAGAGCCCCAAGGTGGCAGAGCTGACCTCACTGTCAGATGAGGACAGCGGGAAAGGCTCCCAGCCCCCCAGCCCACCCTCACCGGCTCCTTCGTCCTTCTCCTCCACTTCAGCCTCTTCCCTGGAGGCTGAGGCCTACGCTGTCTTCCCAGGCTTGGGCCAAGTGCCCAAGCAGCTGGCCCGGCTCTCTGAGGCCAAAGACCCCCAGTCTCGAAAGGCTTTCAACTGCAAATACTGCAACAAGGAATACCTCAGCCTGGGCGCCCTCAAGATGCATATCCGAAGCCACACACTGCCCTGCGTCTGCGGGACCTGCGGGAAGGCCTTCTCCAGGCCCTGGCTGCTGCAGGGCCATGTCCGGACCCACACCGGTGAGTGCCCCCCCTGCAGGCCGGCTGCCCTGCTCACCGTCCCCACTGCTTTCTCTGTCAGCTTTTGTGAGTCTGGGTTTGCTGTTCTCATTTTCAAAGTTGTGGACACGGAGGTGCTGAGTCTCCCAACTTCTAGCTCAAGTTCAGGGGCCTGGCTCTCTGGAGATGTTTGGCAGAAACATTCCTTCATCAGCGAAGCAGATGGGCAGAGTAGATACCTTTACGGGTCTCTCTGCGGGCTCACTCTCTCAGCCAAATGGGCTGAAGTCAGGTATGGGGAAGGTGCAACCAACACCTTGCTGCTATGGCCAGGTGTGAAGGGGCCTATCCTGCCCCACCTTTCCCCGCCCACCCCCGCCCTAGCCAGACAGGATGTTGTTCAGACCCCCTGCCTGGCTCTGAATCCTGCTTTGAGAACTTTCTCAAATTTTCAGCTGATGGTTCATCTCTTCTGAGCCTCAGTTTCCCCACCTTTTAAAATGACCATAAGTCACCTTGGGGGGTTTCTGTACAGGCTAAGTGGAAGAATGTGTATAGGAAGCACTTGGCAAAGTGCTTGGTACATGATAAGCTCTCGCAAAAGTGATAGTTTATTCGCTCTGCTTCCATGCTGTGTGACCTTGGGCAAGATATTTAACCTCTCTGAGCCTCAGAGGATTACGGTAGCACATGTTTAGAGGGTGGGCATAAAGATTGTTAATCACTTTATGAAAACTTATTATGACCATTATGGTTCTTGGGTCTGCTCTCCCCAACCTCACTCAATCCTATCACGCAGACCAGAGAACATCTTTGCTGGCAGAAAACACAGTCACCTCTTGGGTGTTTCAAAACGTAATACTAAATGTGTAGAAAACTTTCTGGAAAGGGAGAAAAGAACGTTTTGGAAGTTGAATGGTGGAGGCCACAGTGGTCGGGGCTGCTCTTTGGAGAGGGACTGTTGAGAAGGTTGGAGGGTTGTGGCCGATGGCCCTGGGCTCAAGCCGGCCAGGTTGGAGACAGAGCGCGCCATTTCTGGCCCAGCGGCCGACCTGAGTGCTGACGGTGTGTCCGGGAAGTGGATTGGGAGACATGGCATTTTGCAGGCTTTGTTGGCGTCATCATTACTCGGCTAAGACGCCCATTTCTCTTACTTTGTGAAAAATGGCCCTGATTTTAACATGTCCTGTCGCCTGGGCTCCTGGGTGCCTGCCCAGCTAATGGGGCTCTTTGGGAGAGTTGAAGCCCTCAGGGTGCCCTCCTGCGCCTCCCCAGCCTCTCTCCCCTCTCATCCGGACATTATTTTAATGTAAAGGCATGGTTCAGACACAAAAACCCCGTTGCTGTCCCCATTGACTCCCATTGTGTGCCTTAATGGCGGGCCCAGTGGGTGGGGGCCGAGAGGGGTGGAGCAGGTGCACGGGGCAGCGGTGCCCAGCACCTGTTCCGGGCTGCAGCTGCTGGCCCACTGCGTGGCAGGCCCCTTTAATCCGGGGTATCGCATGTACAGTGCCCCCCTCGGCGGCCTTTGTCCCCGCCGGCCTGGTGCCGATTTCACACTTGCCGGGAGCTCCATGAAGGCATCTGGGGGGCAGGGGACCTGTGAGGGGTGGGGGGCTCTGCACTCCTGCGTGTGCACACAGCCCCCCAACCCCAGTATGTCCTATAACGTTTCCTTCCTGCTGTGTTCAGGTTTATGTCTAATCACACTTTGAGCACTTACTGTGTGGGAGGGGTGTCACCAATGGCCCTAGAAGAGGGGTGCCGTCACACCCCCATCTTACAGATGGACCCCAGCCCCTTTCTGGACCTGCACAGTCAGCCCTTTATTCACCAGGGAGCGTGCGAATGAAGAACTGAACTTTCTCTTTCACATGAGGAAGACCTTGTAGAATGCAATCATCAAACCCTTAAGGGCTGGCATGCAGAGGGTGCTTAATAATGAATGAGAGAAGGACTCAGGTTTCCCTTCCCCAGTCCTCTGACTAGGTTCCCCTACCCTGCGGTGTGGCATGTTTCCTCGTATATCTGTCCAGTGAGATGGCCCAGCTCACAGGTGCTCAGCAAATACCTGTTCAATGGATGGGTCCCCCAGACTCTTCCTGTGTCCCCCTTGCCTACCCCAGCTCAGCGCGGTGCCCCCAGGCACCGAGGAAGCTCTTCAAGTCTGGCACGGGATTCAGCAGGTGGGCCGTGGCCTGGGGGCATATCAGGCTGGGTGTGGGAGGTTAGGAGAATTGTATTTTTTGAGAAAGGATATTCGGTCTTATAGCATAATGTCTGGCATGTGGCAAAAGCTCTATTGTGACTTTTTGTTTGGAAAATGCTGTATCTCAAAGGAAAAACAAAACAGGGTTGTCAGTGTTTTTGGAACTATAGGTTGGAGCAGTGATTGTTAAAAGGCCTGAGTAGGGGATCAGACTCCTGAGGCTTTTTTTTAATAACAGATTTATTCTGCAAGCACTTATTGAGCACTTACTAGGTACATAGCTCCATGTGCAAGACTTTCGGTAACACAACCCTGGCCAGGCAGATGGTTTGTCAGGGCCGCAGGTTTCCGTAGCCTGGTGGGGGGATCCCAGGCCCTAGGCTGAGGCTTACAGTGGACTTGGAGAGCCCCTGCCCTGCGGGACTCCCAGTCTGAAGGACAGAGAGGGAGACTGGGGATCACGTGCAGTAGGCTAATGGGGGGAGCAGGCTGCTGGCGGGCGCAGGGCAGTGGCCCCACCAGCTCCCAGCAGCGGGTGGGGAGGCCTCTTAAGGCCGACTCTTAAGCTTTGTCCCCAGACAAAGTAAATCGAGGACTGACTCCAGGACTGATAATAAGGAACACCAACCACAGCCTCCCTCCACGGGCAGCACGTGCGGTGGTTAAAATCAGGGCTGTGGCGTCCTGCTGGGTGACCCTGAACATGCTCCTGTGTGGCTCAGTCTTACCCTCTCTAACATGAGGACCACAGTAGGATCAGATGACTGCAGGATCAATCAGTAAAAGTGCTCTGCCATCATTACTGACTGTCCCACGTCCCTGCGTGCTGTGGACAGCACTTTATCCCGCCTATCCCGCCTTCTCTCAATTACCAACTCCTGTGAGTGGGATATGAACAGGCCCATCTTGCAGGTGAGAAAATGGAGGCTCAGAGAAGCCAGACAACTTGCCCAAAGTTGCAAAGTGGGAAGCAGCAGAGCTCCGAATCAAATCCAGGCCTTTGGACACTGGATGTGTGTTTCACCAGGGCCTGGTTTCTCTGGGGTCACGGGATTCCTTCAGGGCTGAGGCTGTGTGGGGAGCGATCCATCACCGCCCGCTGTTAGGCCGTGCCTTACTCGGCCCCTCTGTCTTTCTCTCCGTAGGCGAGAAGCCCTTCTCCTGCCCCCACTGCAGCCGTGCCTTCGCTGACCGCTCCAACCTGCGGGCGCACCTGCAGACCCATTCGGACATCAAGAAGTACCAGTGCCAGGCTTGCTCTCGAACCTTCTCCCGCATGTCCCTGCTCCACAAGCACCAAGAGTCAGGCTGCTCGGGGGGCCCCCGCTGACCTAGAGGCTCCTTTCTCCTCCATGCCCGCCCCCACAAGCAGCCTCCCCAGCTCCAGAAGGAGGGACCCCTGCATCCTTCTCAGGGCCGCGGAATTCCCTTCTGAGTGCTCCGCTCCCAGCTGCGTTGGCCCCACATGACTTCGAAGACCATTTTCTGGTTCTGTTCTCTCTGCTCTGGGTGCCTCAGTGGGCTCCAAAAGTGGCCTTTCAAAGTGGCCATTTCTGGGGACGGCTGATGGGAGGGCAGCTTGCAACGGAGACGCTTCCTGGCAGCCACCGCTCTGGAGCATTCTGGAGTTGGCCTTTCTGTGTGGGTTTGTGTGTCCAGAGCTGTTAGATACAGCTGCTTCGTGCTACAGGACAAAAGCCAACAGACTGACTGAGAAGCTCCCACCCCTCTCAGGGGACCCTACTCCCCTCCCCCCACTGCCGGCCCCGGAACCCTCAGGCCACCCTCCAAGAGGTGTGACTAACTATGCAATAATCCGCCCCCAGGTGTGTCCACGGGGCCTGCGGGGGCAGTCTGGACACGGCGTCGTGTCCTCGTGTCTAGACCCTGAGATGCCCTGGGCCCGGGCAGCTATTTCAGCCTCCTGTTTGTCATGGTGGCACCTGTTTCACGGGCAATTTAACAATGTCTCAAAAGGGACTGTGAGTAATGGCCGTCACTTGTCGGGGGCCCAAGTGGGGCACTCTGGCCTGACTGATGTGTCTCCCAGAACTATTTTGGGGGCCTGACAGGTGGGCCTGGGAGGAAGATGTTTACATTTTTAAAGGTACACTGGTATTTATATTGCAAACATTTTGTATTAAGGAAATGTTTTGTATAGTTACATGTACAGTTTATTGATATTCAATAAAGCAGTTAATTTATATGTAAAAAGTCTCTATTTGGTCGATTTTGAAAGGTCTTTAGGAAGGGAGGAGGGGCAGGAATTCCTAGAGCTTAGATATTTCTGACGCAGCCTTAAGCCTTGTCCTTGGAAACATCACCTGGCTTGGAAGTCTGGGTTTGACTGTCAGGGACGTGTGACTAGGTTTTCCCCTGGGCCTGGGCGTCCTGTCTGGCTGTTTGGAGCCACCTCTGGCGGGGTAAGCGAAGGGGTCTGTGTGCGAGCTGCCCGCACGCCACGCCGCGGCTCTCACGTGCTCTCGTTCTAGCATTTCGAAGCTGAGGAGGCCCGGAGGGCACACACTGGCTTCCTGGGCCTCGGCTAGGCCGCTCGGCTCTGCCCAGCACCGCTGGGCTGTGGGGGCAGGATTGGCTACTTCTCCCAGATGGCGAGCGGAATGCAGTGAGGGAGACAGAGGATGTCCTTCCTGTTTCCAAGGGCTCTGGGCCCCTCTCAGGCCTCCCTGTCAGACCCACACCTCCGTCTGGCCGCTGGGTACCAAATGGCCTTTGATGCGAGGAAATTGGCTGGCTGGAGCCAGGAGGGTGAGAAGCCAGGCCAAAGGGTAGGGGTCATTCAGCTTCCTGCTCCGAGGACGGGAGGATGGTCAGCTTGGTCGGCTTGCATCCTGGGCTGGGATAATTTACTCCTGGCTGGCTGGTGGTGACCTCACTGCTGGGGGCCTCCTGGGGCCGGGAGAAAATGAATGTCCTCTCTAAGTACAAAAGGTGCTGAAGGTGCCAGCTTCCTGCGGGGAGCTGAGCAGGCGTCCCGGGTCCCAGAGCTGCGGGGGCCCCAGAGTCAGGCTGGGGGTGGGGGGAGCTTCGTGTTCCAGAGGAGAGATGATTCTTTCTTCTAAACAGGAAATGGTGACCCGCAGGCCGGGAGCAGCCCTTAATGACTTGCAGCTTTCCTCCCCAAAGGAAAAAAAAACGTTCTCTAACAATCGCCAAATTGTGGCCTGCCTCCCCGAAGGGAAGTCGGGAGTGGTGGGGGCTGGGCGCCAATTAGCTGAAGGCCTACTGTGTCCCTGTCTCTGCAGGCCCCCGCAGGGCATCCAGCTCACCCAGAGTAGGTGCTGACATTGCCGAAGGGTGAATGAATGATCTGGTGGCTCCGCACAATCCCTGCGGGATGGGCCCTGGGAAATGGGGCTCAGAGATGAGGGGCTTGCCCAAGGTCACCCCGCCTTGACCTTGGGTGTACCTGGCTCCTATCATCCTGGGAGTCAGGTAGGCCTGGCTCATGTCCCTGGTGCTCAGGGTGCCTGGAGCAAGGCTCTCCCTTTCTCGGGGCCTCTATAAAATGGGGTGACAGTGATGCCGTCCTCCCGAGACTGTGCAGAGGCATTCATTCATTCCACGGGTTTCCATGGGCACCGTGTGTGCCAGGTCCTGCTCTAGGCTCTGGGGTTACAGCCGTGAACAAGACAGGCCGTCCCTGCGCTCATGGAATGTATGTTCTGGTGGGGGAGACAGAAAACAAACAAGTGATTAAATAAACAAGCCGCTTTGCTACAGTGATGGTGCCAGGACGGAATGAAAGAGCACCAGGCGCTGGAGAGCCGTGGGGCAGGGCTCTCTGGGCTGAGGCAGCCAGAGCCCTGGAAGAGCTGACATTCCAGCCCCGACCTGAAGGAGGAGAAAGATCGGGGGAGGGAAGAGCCAGGCTGGAATGTGCCTGCCCTCCTCGGAAAGACCAGGCCGCAGGAGGGACGGAGGAGACAGGGTGGGCGAGGAGAGCCCCCGCCCAGGCCCTGCAGAGCTCTTCAGGGCTGAGCAGGCGGGACTTCTTCTAAGCCCCAAGGGCAGCCGTTGGGGCTTTACAGCCCTGCTGAGGCCTGCTCTACCTTTTATAGGACAGTGGTCTGGAAGGGTGGTGGTGGTCTTGGGGACGAAGCCTGGATTTAAGAAGCATATGGCATTGTGCCCACTCGGCCCTCAGCCCAGCGCACCTGAGCACTAGTCGGGGAGAGTCACTTGGGGTTATTTATTAAAAGGGAAAGCCAAGTTCGGTGGTGAGTGCCTGTAGTCCCAGCTACTCAGGAGACCAAGGCGGTAGCATAGCTTCAGGCCAGACATTCAAGTCCAGCCTGGGCAACATAGCAAGACCCCCATCTCTTTAAAAAAAACAATTTAAAAGGGGATGTTGGACCCCGTGGGGGCAGATGCTACAGAACCACCCCAACATAGCCATATCACTAAATGGAAAAAAAAAATAATACACAAGACATGCTCCCTTTTGTGGGCAGAAGAGGGGTAGAGACATCAGCACGTGACTCATCCTTGCTTATATTTGCATATAGAGATTCTGGAAATTTAGGACAGTAAACTAATAAAAGTGGTTCCCTAGGGAGTTGCAGGAGGTGGAATTTGGGTGGATGGAGACAGGAGGGAGGGGACAAGGGAGACATTTTTTTAGATTTTTAACACTTTTTATTTGGAAATAATTGCAGCCTCACAAAAATTACAAGGGAAGTACAATAAACTGGAATTTTTCATTCAGATTCTTCAATGTTTACATTATATCATATTTCATCTTCTCTCTCCCCCCTACACACACGCACACATGCATTATTTCTGAACATTCTGAGAGTAAGTTGCAGACACAATGCACCATTCCTGCTGAATATCTAAGCATGTATTTCCTAAGGACAAGAACATTCTCTCATATAACCATGGTTCCACGATCAAAATCAGGAAATTTAACATGGGTGCAATGCTATTCTGTAATCCAGTCATGATCCAATTTCTCCAACTGTCCCACTGAGCATTTCGGGGGGTGGCGGTGGGGAGAGACCCAGGCTCGACTGCAGGACCGATGGCCTGTTGCACCTACCTGTCCTGTGTCTCTTTAGTCTCTCCTATCCCGGGGCAGCACCTCAGCCTCTGTCTTTCAGGACGTTGACATTTTCGAACAATACTGGCCAGCTGTTCTGTAGAATATCCCCCAGTTTGAGTTTTCCTGATGTTTCCTCATCATTAAATTTGGGTCATGCACTTTTGGCAGAACCTCAGAAGTGGCGTGTGTCTTTCTTGGCGCAAGGTGTCATGAGGCGCATGAGGTTGACTCGTCTCATCCCTGACGTCAACTTTGACCTCTCGGTTAAGGTGGTGCCCACCGGGTTTCTCCTTGCTGAAGTTCCTCTTTTTCCCCCTTAGCACTTAATCCGTGCCTTGTGGGGACATACTTGGAGACCATGTGAACATCCTGTTGCTCCTCAAACTTCCACCCACGAGTTTCAGCCTCACCGGTTATTTTTGCCTAAATCAATGACGTCTACGACAGTGGTTCCCAGATGGTGATTTTCTGACTCCATCGTTCCTTCTACTTTTACTGGCTGGCTCCGTACCGCAGAACTTTCCCTCTGTCCGGGCAGCAGCTCAGAGCCGTGGGGTTGGGAGAGACTGGGCTGGGAGCAGCAGGATCTGGCTGGGCCATTAGATCCTCCCCTGGGATTTTCTTTAAAACGAGTCCAGGAAATAAACGGGCTGTGAAGCCGATCTCTGTGCAAGTGTCCAGGCAGGCAGGTCTGGGGCCAGGGCCATCTCTGGGCACATCTGGGCTGCATTAGTGACCTGGTGGCTACTTAGGGGTGTTCCCTGAGCTAGGACGGAGGGTCTCCTGGCAGGCAGGGGTCTGGGCCTTCTTTGCTTTCAAATTGTCAATTTCACAAATGGTGTGGGAATGTATTCCTTCATTTTAAAATATAAAACAACGAGATGTGAGGCTCAAGTGACATGTGATCAACACACTATCCCAAAGCCTTTACTATCTCCAGCGTGATGCCGTGGAGAGCTTGGTTTACATCTTTCTCAATTAAAAAAAATGACCGAATATACATTTCCACGTACACACGGCTCCCTGTCACTCACCTCACCCCATGAAGGCCTGACGCTCTGGCCCCGTCACCTCCACCTCCACCCCTTCCCTGTCCCCTCTCATTCCCCCCAGTAGCTGCCACCTCAGGGCCTTTGCACTTGCAGGTCCCTCTGCCAGAAATGCTCTGCCCCAGAAAGCCACGTGGCCAGCTCCCCACCATCCCTCTCCCCTCCTCATTCTCCCCTCCCTGTTGTTTTTTCCATAGTACTTGTCACCATGGGACAAAACACACTCTCCTGTTCGTGGCTTCTCTGTTAACTGTCCCTCTTACCAGCATGTCAGCTCCGCACAGGTGGAAACTGTCCGCTCTGTTCACGGTGCGCCGATCCCTGGTGCCTCGCGTCTGGCAAGCAGGAGGCACACATTGGGTAAAACACTGCTGAATGGATGAGGAATGAATGTACATGTGCCCCTGGGAAACACGGTGTGGCTGTCACTCGTACGGAGCACTTCCCACGTGCCAGGCGCTGTGCTGAGCACCTCACGTAGATGAACTCAGTGAGGAAACCTAGTCACAGAGAGGTTAAGTAACCTGCCCAGAGTCACACAGTGAGTAAGTGGCAGAGCGGGAATTGGAACCCTGAGTTATTTTATTATTGTTGTCATTTAGTTCTTTCTACTTTGGAGGTGGGGGCGTAATGTAAACATTTTTTAAATTGAAGTAGAACAGAGTCCGGGCCTCTGTCCACTGTCTTGCCTGCCTAGACTCTGCTGCACAGAGGGGCCATTTTGTTCTGTAGCCAGCCTTCGAGAAACCCAGCTGCAAGACACCTCTGTCTCCAGCCAGGTAGGCAGCCAAAGGTGTGGGTAGTTACGGCGGAGGGCTGTGGACAGGGAAAAGGGAGCTCAGTGCCCAGGGGTGCCTGGGTGGGGCAGGGTGTTCTGTGTGGCCTTGCAGACTGGTAGCTCTGTGAAGGCAGGACCACCCACCTGGCAGGGGTTTGGCCCGACTTCCCTCTACCCACCGCCCCCTGGGCCTTGGACCCACTCTGGGCACCCACAGCTGGGTGAGGTACTAGTTTCCCAGGGCTGCCCTAAGAAATTACCATATCCTGGGTGGCTTCAAACAACGGAAGTTTATTCTCTCGCAGTTCTGGAGGC